ATGGAGATCTTCCTTGCCAAGCAACTGAATTTGTGATTAAAATGGGAAGTCAGAAATCTCATCAGCAAGAGTGTTGTTTTCTTAGACTCTATATTTGTCTATTTGGCGCCATCATCACTAGGCCAATTGTATTAACTGTGTATTAACTGTATTCTTTTTTTTTTTTGCATTCTTGGTGCTCTGGTATTTGTGACCTTGCTGAATGGGGAGAGACTGCCCCTGTCAAGACTTGCCAATTCTTAGAAATGGCAAAGGAACGTACCTTCCATGTACTAGCTAACCAATCTGGAGCCAACACTTACAAATGATCTCTTCTGCCACACTCTCGCATGCCATGTCAATGTTTCCCCAGCCCTGAATCAACCCAGGGCTGGGTACCAGACAGCCCAGAATTATTCAAATCAGTCAGTACTAAAGCACGCCCTGTCCTGCCTTTCCCATGGAAAACACAATAAAGGCCCTCCTGGTCTAGGCTTTTCCCAGCTCCCTCTGCCTCCTGAACAACATTGGTGCTTCCCATGTGGCCCTCTGTGGCATGGTGTGCCCCTTTCTCTCAGGAAATGTAAGTAATAGAAGTATTCTTTAATGGCATTGGCCATCCATGCCATCACTCAGTCACCTCCACAAATTAATTCATGGGTGAGGAAGTAGTGAGGCCTCCCAACTACCAGGAGTCTTATATCTGGAGAACCACAGATGGTCCAAATGGGGATACTTTGAGAATGAAAGGGGGCTCTATTCACATACACAGACACAAGGCACAAGCCAGGAGAACCGTCACTCTACTCATGGCACAGTCTCTGAATGGAGCTACAATTCAGAAGGAAGAATTTTTATCATAATATTATAAATGGTGTAGACTTGAGGCTGGGTGTGGTGGCTCATGCCTGTAATCCTAGCACTTTGGGAGGCTGAGGCAAAAGGAATGTTCGAGCCCAGGAATTCAAGACCAGCCTGGGTAACATAGTAAGACTTTGTTTCTACAAAAAGCAAAACAAAATTAGCTGGGCATGGTGGTATGTGCCTGCAGTCCCAGTACTCACGACACTGAGGCAGAAGGATCACCAGATTCCAAGGAGGTCAGGGCTACAGTGAGCTGTGATCATGCCACTGTACTCCAGCCTGGGTGACAGAGCAAGATTCGGACGAAAGAAAGAAAGAGAGAGAGAGAGAGAGAGAGAGAGAGAGAAAGAAAGAAAGAAAGCAAAAAAATAAGAGGGCATAGGCTCAATATTAAAAAACCAGAATGGAATGTTCTGGTTGCTTCACAGAATGAAAGCACTCAGTACCTTCAAGATATTAGGCCCTGCAGGATTCATTCAAGCTGTTCCAGGGCTCCTAAAATTCCACGGAAGTCAAGACTATCCTGCTGCCAATATGTTTTCTGACTTGACAGGAGGGTGGTTACCCTCAAGGGAGGAAAAGTGGCTAGCAGGTGGCATGAGAGAATTTCTGGGTACTAGTAGTGTTCTGTTTCTTGCTATGGGGGTTGGTAACATGTGTGCACTCGCAGTGACAATTTAATGTCTAGCATTTATTATTTGTATACTTTTCTGTATGAATGTTACACTTTAACATAAAGGCTAATTTCTGACATGAAAACCTGCTCTACTTTGAATAATGCACTGTGAGACACATGGACTCCTACAGAGACGGTAAGAGTAACATGGCCCACTTAGAAGAGTTTGTTTTGCTCACTTTGAATATCAGTGATGACTAAGACGTGGCAGCCTAAGATCTTGATTTCTCAGGTTGATAAAGTTAAGAGCAGGGGCAGGAGCTCAGCAGATCATCTGGTGTAGAAATTCCCACACTTGGCTGGTTGTCTGATTCACCTGAAGAGGTTTTATAAATGCAGAGTCTGGGTTTCTGGTCTAGAAATGCTGAACTACATTAATTTGCAGGGGAGTAGAGACGAGGGGGTGAAGGCAGAGGAGTCCAAGGTCTAGAAATCTGCATATTTTAGAGTTCCCGAGGTATGCTGGGTGGTCAGCCAGAACTGGGGACTATCCATGAGCTCCCCCCCTTCACTTTCCAGAGACAGGAACTGAGGCACAGAGAAAGGACAACACAGCTGGACTCGGTGGCTCAGCCTGTAATCCTGCGCCTTTGGGAGGCTGAGGTGAGTGGATTGCTTGAGCCCGCAGGTTTGAGACCTGCCTAGGCAACTTGGCGAGACCTCATCTCTACAATAAATCAAAAATTAGCCGGGCATGGTAGCACGCGCCTGTAGTTCCAGCTACTTGGAAGGCTGAGGCAGAAGGATCACCGGAGCCCAGCACATCGAGGCTGCGGTGGCTGGGAGCGGCCACTGCACTCCAGTCTGGGCGACAGAGTGAGACTCCAAATCAAGAAAAAAAAAGAGAAAGGACAACACTTGCCTGAGATCACACCGTGATGACAGACTGGGCCAAAAACTCATGTCTTCCAAGTCTCAGCTGATACACTTCCCATCAGAGTCGTAGGAGAATACAGTGGCCACACAGGGAGAAGAAATAATGGGTTTTCATGGACAGATGATGGAGGAGCAAGGAAATCATGTCATCTCAGCTCTGGAGCTGACCTGATTTTGGACACAAACCACTAGGTTCTCCTTGGTAAGAATGAGTCGCTGCGAACGAACATCAGAGTCAATCCTTGCTCTAGGACGAGTCTAATTCCAGACAAACTTTCATAATCCCCATATGTGTGTAGTCTGCCTGGCTGGTCAGATGGGACTAAAATGATCAAAGTCTGTTCATGATCTGCAGCATCCCCTCCCCTGGTGCACTGGGGTCAGAGCGAGCACTGCTCACCAGGGGATTAGAGCAGTGAGGGGTGAGGAGCACAGGGTCTGCAGGCAATCTGACTTGGGTCTAAATTCTGGTGGCACAACTTACTAGCTGTGCCTGTCAGGGCTGCTACAGAACCTCCTCTGCACCTCCATTTCCTCGCCTACAATGCAGGGATAGAGATAGTAATAGCAAGCACATGAGCAAGTTTAGGCATTGTGCGTGGGTCCTTGTTCTAAGTGTTTCGCCTGGATGAATTCGTTTCATCTTCACAACCACTAGGAGACTGGTATGATTATCCCCATTTTACAGATGAGGAAAACAGTACCTACTTTATAGTGCTTTTGTGAAGATTACCTGAGAAAAGGCATGCGAACTTAGCCCAGTACCTGGGATAGAATAAATGCTTGATACATACTAGTCATTGTTATTATTATCATTATTATCTAGAACTATTGTAATAGTTCTAACTCTGCCTCTCAACTTGCTACATGATTTTAAATGTGTCACTTCTTGCCTGTCAGTCTCACTTTTCCAATCCATAAAATGAGAGGATCTCTAAAGATCATCTCTTTGGAGATGATCTCTAAAATCTCCTACTGCTTTAACGTGTTTGCAGTCTCGGATCGATCATTTAAAAAATGATTTTCTAAGCCGGGCTCGGTGGCTCAGCCTGTAATCCCGCGCCTTTGGGAGGCTGAGGTGAGTGGATTGCCTGAGCCCGT